GAATTCGGTCAATGGGTATACGGAGGACATGACCTAGCCAACGTATGCGGTTACTATTCAGCAAGGGGTCCAAAAGACGATGAACACGTTTGGCTAGATACACTTGCTGACATGGCAAGGAGCCGACCTCAGTGGCGTTCCTGCTGTGAGTTTCTTTGTCCCTCCCAACCTTTTTAGCCTCCCCCTCCAAGCACGATCTCATTTCCTAGCGTAAATATAATCTTACATAATAATTTTTCTTGTTGCCTAGTAGCCGGCTGGTAGGTTACCGGAACGATGCCCATCCGTTGCTGGTAGCTCAGCTGGCATGCAACTGTTGTATTTATTTTCCTTTTCTTTTATGTATTGCGGCACAGTAGCTGAGGTGTTGCCCACCTCTAGCTAACGTGTATAATGAGGATGATGACTATTCAGCAAACACTCGAGTTCCTGTGACAGCGCTTTGCATTTCGCAATTGAAAAGTATATGCCCAAGTATGCAATGTTACTCGACAGTCTAGTCGGTAACGACGCAGCCACTGGTGAGACCCAAGGTAAGCTATGTCGCCTGCATACACGAGGTTTGCCAGTCGGTAAGGTGGCAAAACTTCCACTCCAGCAGAGTGAAGGAACCGAGTCATTCACGATTATTTCGATTATAAAGTTGAGGATGGAAGGAGCTGTAGGACAATCTTGGCGAACCTCACTTGTCGTTGGGAACTCAAGAGAAAATTTACGTAGACTATTAAACGGCTTCGGAAATCAAGATAGAAAGACTCCAGAACGAAAAGTAGTTTCCCCAACACGTTCTCTACGGATAGACATTGCCACAGTCTGGCATGATCCACAGAGATGAAGGCAGCTTACAAGTCAAGAAAAACTACCATAGTTGGTCGTCTGCATGTGTGTCTCTGCTCTAACAGTTGACAAAGAGCAAATGTGGTCGATAAAATCGCGAACAGGACGAAAGCCAGCTTGGGGTTAAGTGACTCGGTTCTCACAGAACCAGTAATTCGCTGAAGAAGGACACCATTGAGAAGTTTGAAGACGGATGGAAAGAAGGCCAATGCCTCGATGCTTCGTACACTAAGTCCGTTGACCATTTCTAAAGGTGGGTACAACAGTTGACGGTCGCGCGTCGGAAGGCATTTCTTTAGTGTCCCAAATCGTGTTGAATAGAGCAGTATGCACAGTCGTAAAATACACCACTTTCAGCAAAGATGGAAGAATGTCATCGATCCCAGGAGCGTTGTTTCTTTTCAACCCGGCAAGTTCATGTCAAACCCCTTAAAAAGTGGGAGATATGACATCAACTTACAAGGTGGGCTAAGCCGTCTCAATAAACGGCAGTTCCGTAACAGCCATGTGGGATGTTCCGCTTAAGGGGTTAGTCGAAGCGGGCCAACTGTCCATATATCGCAACTACTGTTTCACTAACGCAGTTTTATTGGACCCCTGTTTCGGATGAGCTAGAGCAGTACTCGGCTGTTTCCAATAGCACTGGCCTTCTCCATCTCATGGGATTTTGCTACTCACCAACATTCCCGATCGATACGAAGACCCCATGTCAGACATCGTTTCAGAGAGTTAAGGACACACCGAAACTCATGGCGCATTGGAATCTGCCCACGCGTTTCGATCAGACTGACCGATGCTTCAAAGATCCATTCACAGTTACGACGTTTCAAGCTGGGTGCACAGCAAGCATCAAAGACATTCTTTATGGCGCACTTGAGACGATCGAAGTCAGCGTACGGCACATCAACTACATTCGTCAGTATCAAGTTCTCAAGATTGTCGTTATATTGTTGAACTGCAGACTGCGAGTTCAAATTACAAGAAGCTTAGAAGTTAGACGCTTCTTTGAAGGGGAAAAAGTGAGAGCCAGGTGAGCGCGCACTATAGCATGGTCGGAACCCGGACACATGCTTCAATATGGCCGATGGTCTCGGACCGATGTGCGCCATCTATAGCTGACGGCGACATGATCAACTTGTGGAGGAGTCATCGAGGAATTCGGTGGGCACCAGGTGACACAAGGTGAACGTTTGTGCTGGAAAGCAGTGTTGCCAATATGAAGGCTGTAGTTCGCACACAGTTGCATGAAAGGATCATCGTTGTCTGTTTGAATGATATCGACTCAGAAACCATTATAATTATGGTCGAACGCAATATTCTAACGATGCGAGAATCTCCATACTGCGACACAAGGGCTGGTAACGATTCACGTGAAGTTTTCTCAACTGTTTCTTTAGGATAATGGCATGCATTATGATTGTTTCATTTATGCTTCCTTACTTAATTCTGCCGGCCGGTGGCCGAGTGGTCTGCGCACCTGGTTTGCAACCATAAGGTCACCGGTTCGAATCCGCGTAGGGGTGGGCCTCCTCGCGGTATACTCAGCCCGCGCGCGACTGGTGGTCGCATGGCAGCGGAGCGAGGTTACAACGTACAGCTGGCGATATATATATATATATATATATATATATATATATATATATATATATATATATATATATATATATATAATGTGATCGAACGAAGTATGGTTGATTCTGGCCCTTCTGTTTCGTGTGTAGTTTGACCAGGTGACCGATGAATAAATATAAGATGTGAGGAGGACACAGCTAGCTTGGGGTAGGATAAAGGTGCTTTACAAACGAAGATTAGTTGATGAACATCAACTTGCACGTTTACAATGCAAAGCAATCCGTCGACAGTGATTTGGCACTTCGGATCACAGTATCATGGAAAAAGCACTTTAAAGTGAACGACCAGCAGTATAGACTTGGTGACTCTGTGGCGATCAAGCTAATGAGGTCATTAATGCACGTAGCAGCGGGAATCATGTGACTTCCTAACGTCTTGTAGTCTTTTGGAAGCATACAGACATCCACTTATCGGCCAATAACATGAGGTAAAAGGTGGCACAACCATTGCGGCCGCATGAAGAGTGAAGGTGGATATAGCATGCTGAAGACACTAAGAGACCGTTCGTTTTAACCCATGATATTTTCAAGGTGACGGTTATCCACAATTGTACAATCGGGTTACTGATGTGTGAGTCCGTGTACTTGACTGCTCGGTATAATCGAGAATATACCCACATGGGCAAGGCCGTATTGTTCACGCCTATTGACGGCCTTCCCAAAGGCATGTTGTTTACTAACGCCAAGATTCGCCCAACGAAGCCCAAAAGTGATTGGTTGATGGCATGGCCGAAGAACATCAGTTGAAATGAAATCCCCGGTGTAGTTGCACACTGAAAAAGTCAGTGCGGCTTTCGCATATAATGCCCACAGACATGCCGATAGACTCTCCGTCCGCCAAGTACATTAGTTTGCATTAATTCCGGATTGAACCTAATACTTGGCTTTCCCCAGAAACGCTAACGCAAACAACGACAACTGGGTACGATGAGGTATTGGTTGAGAAATTGTAATGAACTAAATATCCAAGCGGATGGAAGAAACAATGACAGCATCCAGAACAAATGAAGATACAGGTAAAACCCAACAGAAGGAGCTGACACAAAACCCCCATCAGCTGGATGAAGACCAGTTGATTAAAATTAGCATCCTCAAGCTAATTTTAACCAATTAGCATTCATCCAACTGGTGGGGGTTTGGTGTCAGCACCTTCAGTTGGGTTTTACCTGCATCTTCACTTGTTTTGGATCCTCGATCTGGATATACTTGCTGATATGACTAGAAGCTGACCTCAGTGGCGTTCGTGTTGTGAATTTCTTTGTCTAAGGGTAACGAGCTTGTCTTGTAATCTGACGACTCGGGTTCCAGCCTGCATCGTTCATTATTCATTATACACGCTAACTGCAGGTGGAAAACGCCTCGGCTATGGTGCTGCAATATAAAAGAAAAAGCAAAACAGAGACGCCGGCTGAATCACCAGTAACGGATGGACATTGTTCCGAAGAGCTAACTGCCGGCCATTGTGCTGCAAAAAAGTCATATAATGCCTAGTAATTGAGATCGTGGTTGGAGAGGAGGCTAAGTAGAGGGGGATAGACAAAGGAAGTCACAACACAAACGCCGCTAATGTCTGCTCCTAACCATGTCAACAAGTGTATCCAATAAAAGGTGTTCGTCGTCCTTCGGTCCCCAACCAGGGAGCCGAGAAGCTCCAACCGAGGCCAACTTCGAAGTAAGGGCCTTCATTCCTCTTGATCAAATCATCGCTTGGCCACTTCCTCTTCTACTATCCGTACCCCCGGCGCGCAAACAACGAAAATCACGGAAGTCAGTGGGCTGGCATGCGCAACACATGACCCAGCCATCGGAGCCGGTTGCGTGAAATAACGGTGCTGAGCGATTTGCTTCTTGTTCCTACGCCACAAAGGCGGCGTCGAACACGCTCATTGCTCACACAGTGTTTCCACCAGATGAGCCAAAATGCGAAGGCATCGGTGGTCGAACATAACTAGCCTCTTTATGTCCGCTAATCTAAGGGGCCAGGTTCGAGCCTGCGTAGGGGAGGGTGACCCTCACAGTATCGTTAGCCCACATGCGACCAGTGGCGGTTGCGCGGCAGCAAAGCGTCGGTACTCCGTGTCGGCGTACAGCTGATGCCCATCTCTCTAAGCCTCCCCATCCAACCGCGACCTCATTTCTTAGAATAATATAAAGTTTGCATAATAAAATTTTTTGTTGCATAGTAGCCGGCTGGTAGCTTTCCGGAACGATGACTATCCGTTACTCGTAGCTCAGCTGGCTGGCACCTGTTGTTTTTTTCTTATGTATTGCAGCACAGTAGCCGGGGTGTTTTTCACCTCTAGATAAGGTGTATAATGAGCATCCTCGATCACTAATCCAAGTGATGGCGAGAACAACAACCTAAACCCCAAAAGTATCCATAAGATCAATTTCATGAACTAAGTCGTTGGGAAAATATGGTTTCCTTATAATGCAAAGAAAATGAGGTAAGCAGGTGCACTAATAAGTGTTAGACAAAAAAGCGACCGGTGTAAGCGAACGAAAGGTAAATAAATTCTCGGAACAGCTGACCTCGTGCATCTCTTCTATCCTTTTCGTATAGAACAAAATTCTTTCCGACAAAGTAGTCTTTCCGCTATCGATATGAGCAGAAATTCCAATGTTCCGTATTTTGGAGAGCTGTTAGGGTACCATATAAAAGCAAACACACATACATCCGCGTCAGCGGCCAGTCCTCGAAGTGAGTTAAGGAATACACCAGCAGGTTTCAGCAGACAACGCGGAAAGCGCATGGTCCCGTTTCTAAAACAGTGACCTGTGGTGGACCTAAAATCGATAGAGAACAAGATGATAAGGAGCAAAAGCAGCAGAGATAGGCAAGAATAAACGGTAAGGCATATTAACGCTTCGCAGCCACGCGACCATCAACAGCCGTGCGCAGGCTAGAAATACGGTGATGTCGCACGAACCTACGCAGATTCGAACTGGAGATTTATGGATTGCAAGACAGATGCCCCATTCCTTCGGCCCCCGGCCGACAGCTATCAAGATGAAGAATATATTTTTTCATTGTAATCATGAGAAAAGCCACCGACAGTACATACTACAAATATAGAAGAAATGTTTGACGACACCTCTCAGTAGAAGTATCACAACCTGTCTGAATGAAGGCATGATGGGTAGGTTTTGCGGCAGAACATCACCACTTTCCTGGCAAGTCTATGGACGTTAATTCAAAGAATCGAGTAAGAAAGTACGGTGGATCCAGCTACCATGAAGAGAAGGGCCATGACAATGGGAAAAGTAATGCAGTGCCTTGGCAAGGCATTTCGAATCAGTGCTCATAGATGACAGGGGTTTAGTTGATCGCGCAAGTTAAGATACCGAGGGTGTAAAACAGATAATCCCCAAAAATGAAGGCAGTTGAACAACGTTCAGCTAAAAAATGTGTAGACCATAGGTAGAAGATTAGGCTCTCTTGGTAGACAACAGATCTGATTCAACATGCTGTTTCGTGCAGCCATCGATTATTAAGCAGAGCCTGCAATTGTGTGTCTCTCAAATTCGAGTTCCATGGGAACCGGAAAGAGGATAAACTTGAGTACGCAATGTGGATCGCTAAACCAGAAGTTGGAAGGGTGATGTGAAATCTTAGTGAACTTTAAACGAAAAACAGCATCACACCCCAGCCAATCGAGTAATGTCCACGTATCCTGCGTTAGCAGTCCCTGGGGCCATCTAGAAAAGTAAAAAATGGAAAATAGCAAAGTACGAGGGCAAGAAGATGAACATCAATTGGTGATAATACCAAGGCACGATAAAAAATATAAGGAAAAACGGAAACTGAAAACTGGGTATGGTTAAGCGAAAGGAGAGGTTGAGTACTACCACCCGAGAACATCGAGCTGAGGCTCAAAACACATCCGTAGAGTGCCTAATCTTGTGCTCTGGAAGCGAGACCTTGCACCTTTTGCCAGTCATATTCCTCGAGGAAGGATAAGCTGCTTCAAAACGAAATATGGAACAATTTGCCCGAGCAGTAGCTATAAAGTAGACCAATCCAAGAGCATATTCAGATGATGCTAAACATTCTCAGGATCTACAGGAATGTCCATAATTTTCCAGATCTCACTTGCTGAGAAACCTCGTGGTGCCAACTGGGTGGGTCGGAGTTACCGCGTTCACGCGAATGATTCGGAGCAGTGCCAAAGGAGGTGGTGGATTTTCGTCCAGCGAGCGGTCTCTACAAAAATCCACGTATGTCCGGTTAAAAAGTGTGACAGGTGTGAATAGTCAGTAAAGTAAGTCATTAAGTCATTATCGCTTGCTTCACCTCGGTGGAACATTGTAGTCCAACAGCCTGCTATGTAGTAGTGGGAAGGTCTGAGACTGTATGGTAACCGAGAAGTTTGAACTGAACACTCGGTCACCACCTCCCAACAGGTGTGATACCTTGTCGTCGTTCTGCTGCCAAACGATCGGAGTAATGTCCCCTAAAGCTGCTTCCTAGTTCGGCTTGGGCAGCCGGGTTGTATCGCGCCCTCTGAATAAATCATGGATCGCTCAGCATTTGCTCTGTCCTTAAACAACCTCTGTTCGTCATGGCTTTTGATGACTCATGTCAGATTCAGATGGGACCGGAACGATAGGAAAATCGTTTGAGTGTTTCTTCTTGAGCAGATCGTTGAGATAGGAAATGATAAGGTGCTACGTCTTGATGGAATTAAATGGAAACATCCGAACCCTGGTCAACCAATTACTGCCCACGTTCCCTGCACTAGCAGTCCCCGCTGTGTAGGTCACGTGAAGTAAGAAAGACGTAGAAAGAAAATGGAAGATAAAAGGAGTCATTGAAATGAAGGGTAAAACTAGAGTGAGGAGAACGATGGAATATGAACACAAAGTTGGAAAGTGGATATGGTCAGGAAAAGGGAAAGGTTTCGTGTTGCCACCCAAGAGCGTCTAACTGACGCTCGAAACCCTTAAGCATAGGTTCACTAACTACACTTTCTGGAAGCGAGTTCCAGCGCTCGATAACTCTACGCGACAACCGAGTTTCCGCTCTGGTCCGATCGGAACGCGGCTTGTGTAGTTTCTTGAGATGGCCGTGAAGATAAGGCAACCTAGCCGGGCTAAATAGCCAGCTCAAGTCCGGTCCAACCTTCCCTGTTAAAATGCGGTAAGTAAGGGTTAGGTCTCCTTTAAGCCGTCGATAGTGCATTAAATACAGACCCAAGCTAAGTAGACGCTCGGGATACGATTGCCCCCGTAACCCCTCGACCAATTTGGTACCTACTCTCGAAACCCTCTCGAGCTCCATTTTGTCCCGAACAAGGCAGGACGGGCAAGCCTGGATGCAGTATTCCAGATGGGATAGAACGAAAACTGAGAACAGCTTCACAAATATGTCGGCAGTTAAGACCCTGACAGAACGGGGCATTAAGCACAACATTCTGAAACCCCTATTTGTGGCATTCTTTCAGTTGCCACCAGAATGCAAAGACGAGGAATGGACGACGCCTAGGTCTACCTGGTTGGAGACAAAGGGGAGTTCGACCCCACCGAGCACGTACCTTGAAGGTGGGAAAGTTGCTCCTATACGAAGGACGGAAGTCAGCCTGATTAATGGGCAGTAGCCACAAAGTAGACCAGTCCCAGAGTCTGTCCAAGGCATGTTGAATGGCCTCAGAACTCCCAGGGATATTTACAACATTCCATAGCTTAAGGTCATCATAAAACAATAGGGATGATACCCCAAGCTATCCAGGGAGATCGTTTACGTAGATGGAAAACGACATCGGTCCATGGACCGAGCCCTGTGGGACACCGCTAGGAACCACTTGTCTAAAGGATAAGCTGCGACCCACACGTACACACAGCTCTCTTCCCTGCAAGAATGCAGATACCCAGTAAAGAGCGCGGCCAGATACGCCGTAAAAGTTCACCTTTTTTGGTAGCGTCAAGTGGGGTACCTTATCAAATACTTATGAGAAATCGACAAAAAGCATATCCACTACGTGGTCATTGTCAACTGCCACGGTCCCAGCTTCACGAGCGACCAACAAATTCGTCAGACACGAAAACCCTATGCGGAATCTGTGTTATGCACTACTGAGTAGATTAAATCTATCCAGATGACCTTCCAACGAATCTCTCACCAGCTTTTCAAGCAGTTAGACCATTACGCTAGTCAGACTGACTGGCCTACAATTGGCTGACAGACTCCTGTCGCCATTCTTGAAGATAGGACAGATGACAGCCTCCTTCCATTCAGGTAACGTACAGCTGTCAAGTGACTTCTGAAACATCATGGTCAGCGGTCCACTTAGTCCCACCACCAACTGATGCAGAAGCTTCGGGTAATTTGAATCGGGTTCAGCTGCTTTAGAAGGGTTCAATTCTTGCAGCAGCCTAAGGACTTGCGTGTCTACCACAGTAAACTCAGCTAAATAAGTGCCCCCAGGTGCTCTGGGGACAAGTTCAACGCTAGTCAACACGGCCTCACGTACAAAAGCCCCTGCATAGTGCTCACCAAGTACATGAGCCTTGTCCGAGTCCGCATACGCATGAGTTCCATTGGCCCGCATCAAAGTTGGAATTAGCGAATTTGAACCACAGCGTCTCATAACGTAAGCGAAGAACTTCGGATTTTCCGAAGCTCCATCAGCCAATTCCTTTTCGTACAACAGCCGAGCTTTCCTCAAGTGGTTTACATCTATTTCTAGCCTCGCGGTACCTATCATAGGTGCTAGTTGATGGAGCCGCAGGGTAGATCCTCCAGCACCTAAAACGCTTCTGGAGCAAGTACTTTCCAGTGGTATCTATCCACGGGGGGCGTGCTCGTGTCTTTTTCCTTCGCAAGCGGGATGTAGGGAGTAGACACTTCCGTGAGATGACTTAAAGTTATCCCAGGCAGCCTGAACTGTATCGGCCACCGAGGTTTCGCAACACCACCCAGAAGCCTTGATACGCAATGTCTGATGGTTAGCACGCCATATGTTTATATATGGCTCAGCGATGCTCTGGTGACGTCTGGTCAGAGCACACCTGAAGCATAAACAGACATGATCACTGGCACCTAAGGGAGAGCTGTAAGTGATGTCACCTACGAAGTCTAGCGACTTGGCAAAAACTAGATCCAAAATAGGCGGTACTTGGGCATCCATGTATCCGGTGGGGAGGTCCACGAACTGATGCAACGGTACTTGTAGCGTAAGCTCAAAAAGATTTGCACCGGAAATACCTACCGCCGAGTTGCAAGAAAGATCTGCCCAGCAAACTTCCGGTATTGGTTCATTGGTGTGTAGAGAGCAGGAGGTGAGACCCTTGTCAGCTCCGTCGATTCCGATTCAGTGCAGGTTTGACGCAACTGGCTGCGAAGCGGCATTCCTCTGTGGATCATCGCCGTTGCAGTAGGAGGAGCGGAGCTCTGCGGTACTCATCAGATGGCAGTCAAGCAGCCCTTTGAAACTTTCCTTTGTCGGTGCATCAGAAATGATCTCCGGTAGGCTGTTTCAATCATTCACTACACGAATTGATAAAGCAGCCTCTGGACGGACGTGAAGTATTCGGCTCTTGTACAACTTCTACTTGTGGCCCCGTGTCGAGCCGTCCACGTTGAGCCAAAAGTGCTTTTGTACCTCACTCCCAAGTTCTCTTCTTAGGATCCGTCTGGTGTAGATAAGATCCCCACGGCGCCGACGATAATCCATTGAGAATATGTTTTAGCTTTCTGAGTCGAAAAGGGCAAGCAAAACCACGAAGCTCTATGACGGATTTCGAGCCACGCCTCTGAACTCTATAGCAAGTCGCATTCAGATTTTAAGA